TGGTTGATGATAATATTAATGATAATATTGTAAAATGTTACGGTATTTCTCAAGATCCTAAAACTAAGAACTATATGATGGTAATGGAATATATGAAAGAGGGTAATCTCAGACAAATTTTAGAACAGAAAGACAAAAAGTTAAGTTTTGGAAATAAACTTAGGAAATTGTGAAATATTGCCGAAGGATTAGGGGATATTCATAGCCACGGTTTAGTTCATCGGGATTTTCATAGCGGGAATGTTTTAAATGATAATTACAAAAGTGCTTCTATTGCCGACTTTGGATTAAGTATGCCTGCCAATTATCAAAAAAAAGAAGGCACGCTTTTTGGAGTTCTTCCTTATGTAGCTCCGGAAGTTTTACAAGGACAACCTTACACTCAAAAATCAGATATTTACTCTTTTGGCGTAGTGGCTTATGAACTATTTGCTAATTCTTACCCTTTTCCCGATTTAAAGGATTTGGATTTAAAGATTTGTCTAGGTTTGCGACCAAATTTAGAAGAAGTTAAAATACCTCAATTACTAAAAGATTTAATTAAAAAATGTTGAGATGCCAATTTAGAAAAAAGGCCAAATGCTAAGGAATTATGAGGGATTTGTTATAACTGGTATTATGAAATTAATTTTAAAGAAAATACTACTGAATTCTACCAGCAATATCAGGCAATAGAAGACGAATGCAAGCACTTTTCCCAAAGCACTCCTTATAAAATTTATCCCACTGCCATTACTACTAGTAAAAAGATAGATACTAAATCAATTACTGAACGATTACAAAAGTTAAATATTTTTGAACAGGACCACGATATTAAGGATTTAGAATTAAATCTTTTTAACTCTGAGGAATTAAACACTCAAGAAAAGAAGATTAGAGCCTCTGTTTTTTCAAACAGACAATTTAAGCGACAATTACCTCTTGACTCCCAAGTCGAAAACAACCAAGGGGAGTCCAAGCAATCCAAAGTAGTTGAAAATTTGGAACACCAAACTGAAACAATGAAAATGGATAGTCAAGAACAAACTTCCCTCCAAGCCCAAATCCAAGCTTTACCTAAATCTAATTAACTTTTTCTTGTAACTAAACAAACACCGCTTCTAGATGACTGATTTCACGATCTTTCCAAGTGCAAATAAACAAATTAAATTTATCAACTCGACCTCCCTATTTTTTCCTGTTGCCTGTTCTTCACTAGCGAAGTTGCGATAATGTTTCTCCATCCGAATTTA